AATTCTCTCAGGTTAATTTTTTAAGTACAAATTCAAAGTACTGTAATGTTTATGAATTCTGCACGACAGTGCATCTTTGAAATTATTGTTATGAGAAAAAAATTGACACTGCAAGTAACAAGAATCGTGCCAAAGTGTAGAAAACAAAAATACGTGTAAAAACAATTTTCAAATGTTGCTATCTTGAACTGGTTTTTATCACAACTCTGAAAAAATATAAAAGTCAGAGTTTTCTTTTTCATAGATAACTCTTAGGTCCCAAACAGCACTTGATTCAAATCAAATTTTGACCGAATATTGCTTCCTTGTCTTCATCTAAAGACCCAGGTCATCAGTACAATTTAGTTCCCTCTTTTGTTAAGGCGCTCGTACAAATTTTGCCTACCAGACCCCTCAAGCGGCTCATAACCAGATTCTGTTTGAGATCCAAGGGTGTGCACTGACCCATATGGTGTGCCCATCTTCAGGGTCTGCACATTTTGGTAATTTGGTGCTGCAACTGGTGTCTGCACGTTTTGGCAATCTGGTACTGTAACTGGTGAGGGCACATTTTGGTAAACTGCGCAGCTGCAACCGGTGTGTTCATTTTTACACATTGATAAAGATGGCAGTAACCAGAGTTGTCTTCAGAGGTACTGCGCATAGCTCCACCATTACTTTGTCCTAGAGATGAAATGAAAAAATTCATTTCAAGTAACTTAAAGTTTTCCCTCAAAAAATGAACATTATTGATAAAGTAAACAAAAAATGATTCATTGAATCTTTCTTGGGAAGTTCTACAGCTGGTAATAATCTGCCGGTATTTTTTAGGCCATACAGAATATTTCCTTTTCCTACTTCATCCATGGAATTCAGCATTAACCTACTAGTTCAAAACACTGCTAGAGGACTTGTGGCTCGTTAACGTGATCACAGTGATGGCGATAGGTAACTGGGAGTGATCACTTGTTTTTTGAGATATCAGTGAAAAACCACAGTAACTGATTTTTCCTACCTAGAGTTTATCACAGCAGCTCAAAGGGCAAATGATCCTGCTGAAAAGCGTAATCCCGCCCCCAATCACAGGTGTGTTTTATAATCACATTGTGAACACGAAATGTTTTGGATGGAGACCACCTGGAAAAAAAATGAGTAACGGTTATTCTTTACTAACTTACCGCTATTGTTAACAAGTCCTTGGTATGTCGATTGACTGTCTTGTTCACCGGAGGTTGACCCGCGCCCATTGGTCTTTCCCTTTGTATTTGATCGTAAATCTGAGGGTTCCTAATTATGACTATATAAAAAAATTTGGGTTTTGGACTCCTGCTGTTGCTAAAAAAAAATAAGCGGTCTGACACTGCATATAGCTAATGATATTAATAGCACATTTTTTATAACATTAAACAGAAATAGAGGCTGTATAATGACGGGAAGAGGGAGTGTGCAGAAGATTTATATTCACACGCAAAAGAGAAAACCTTCCGCATCCCACATATTTATGAATACCCTGTTACACAAGAGAATGATGAGCCAAGAACATGGAGACCAATGGACATTCAACCAATAAAAGAATGGTAAAAGTTGATTATATCAACAATAATTATAATGATAACAAAAGTAATATAGTAATAATTTAATGGGGTTAGCTTAACAGATCGATACCCTATCCTCTAAACTCCAGTAATAATTAAAGGGTTTTTATTGTTTTGTTATCTCTTTAACCTGTCAAATAGTATTCTCAAAAAAAAAAATTTGATTCTGACGCCTCTTCACCCTAAAATCGAGCTTTAAAGTTCCCGCTTCGGCCACGCCCAATGAAGTTGACCGCGTAAGGGAAGATTGGTGATGAGTGACGTCACTCCAGGAGCGTCTCGAGCGTCGTGTGGTTACTTTGCTTGACAAACGCAGTACTTTTACAACACATCTATCGGGCATATTTATGTCGCCGAAAACTCTTCACCTTACTGAAAAAAAACAGTGAAATGAACCACTGGCGGGATTTGGCTGGTTCCTGACTTGACGTTACGACCCATTCTGAACCCAGTCTCTTTTTTGCCCCGACTCACGGTCACCTTCAATGGGTGTGGCCAAAGCGGGAAGTTTGAAGCTCGATTTCAGGGCGAAGACTCGTCAGAATCCAATTTTTATTTAAGAATACTTCTTTACATGCTAAATACATACCAAAGCTATAAAAACCCTGTTGGCCGTATAGACACTTTAAGCTATGCTTCTTTTAATTTTGCCAGTAAATTAATTTCTCATTATTTTATTGCCATTCTATTGCGAGACTTTAGTTTCATGCTACAAAGCATTCCGCGTTTTAAGATAAGCTGTCATTCTGCGTCTTAGGATATTTCGTCACTCCGTGTATTAGGATATTCCGTCATTCGACAATTCGCCGTTCCATTAGTCCATTCAATGGAGTCAGCCTGTAAACTGAAGGTATCGTATTTCGCAGCTTACTCGCTTCGCAAATTTAGCGGCCATTTTTAGCATGAATCTTATTCAAAAAGGTAAATTTCTCTTTTTTTAAAATTTAAAATTTTCCTTTAAGTCTTCATTATGAAAAGCACCAACCACACCTATTAAGGAGGCACTGTTGGGATAAATTCCGACAGGCGACACGGCTCTGAAACGGCGACATAAAGGAGCTGAAACGACGACGAGCGACGAGTCGCTCACGCAAAATTACGACAGCGACAAGAGAAAAGTGAAAATGACAGTGACATCGGCGTTTTAAAAATTAGACAGCGACTTGCTGCGCATTTGGGCAGAAGTTGTATATCACAGTAAAGTTAAACTTCCTTGAGTATTGACAGTCTACTCAGGGACCGCGCAGGGGGTTGGGCTGATGGGGCTCCCTGTGCATAGCTTTTAGAATAAAAGCTATGCCTAGGGAGAAATCAATATATATACATGCAAAAAACTGAGATTTACAAGAGCCTAATTGAAATAATAATATAATACCAGAAATTAAAGTGCTTAAAAGTATATAACGTAAATATAAAATCATCTTTTTTTACGATGATCAACGTCGCTTCCTTGCTAAAAGAATACTCCGCAATGTCCCTGGTGTGTTTCTTTAATATCTGCTTATAGAAATTAAAATTTTCAGGCACTTTAACTAGTCTATTTAAAAAATTCCAGATTACAGGGCCTCTGTACTGTAAACTGTTTCTTCCAGTATCAGATTTAAACCTAATGATATTAAATTGATTAGGAAAGCGAGTTGACCTAGAAGTTGTCCTTTTAGAGAAAAGTTCTCGAAAAGATTGACACGAAGTTTCAAAATACACTTTGTGCATTAACGTGAGAACGGACATTTTGTAAAAGTAAGAGAAGGGTAGCCAATTTCATTTACTGAGACAGATATCATCAGCCAGCGACGGTTGAAGGTTGTTGATAATGCGGGAAGCTCTTGCGTGGATAGAGTTCAGAGAATTCATTGCAGAGGGTGAGCAATTTCCCCATACTGAGATACTATATGTTACGCTGGGAATAATAGATTTGAAATAAATTTCCTCGAGTGACTGTTTAGGAAGAATTTTCATTCTCTTTAGTTACAAGAATTTGGTGTTAGATCAAAATAACAACTTCGACCCGATAAGTTTGCATGAGTATTCTCATTTTCAGAATTATATGGCTTTAACTGAATTATGCTTTTTATTAAATGACCACAATGACATAAGGCAGTCTTTGGCCAATCTGATTGCTAAAAACGGCAATAACTACCTTAATTATGCATTTGAGACCCATAATGTTACAACAATCATATCAATTCAATTCTACCTTTTCCATATTTGCCTCCGTCTATTTAAGATGATGAATGTTTCAACATACGTGTATCCCTACGCTGATTGCAGATTTTTAATTGCCAGGTAAGCATTTAGTCATAAGCATTGAATCATCAAAATTCTCATTGTTCTTTTTGATGATTCCCTATTATATATGGTGGGGAAGAATGCATTAATTGCCTCATGTGATATTACATATCATGCAATTGCACACTGTCAGAAAGCACTATAGATCGTTTTCACGTGACGTCACATCATTTCCGGTCGCCATATTTGTGTACAATCCAGGGCAACACATGCAGGGTAATATAAGCAAATAATAAGCACATCTACAATTTCTGCCGGTAAATATGAATACTACAGCAACGGAAGCAAAATTAAGTGCCAATACTGATATCCATTCTCCTCTTTCTGAGTACGCCAAGAAGCTAGAACCACGAGTAAGGCAGCGTTATTTGGAAAAAATTTCAGCGATTGGGATCTATCCCGTCCTTATTTAGAGTAAGAATTTTCAACCAGACTGCTTACCTTCAGTTGAATCTACAGATCTCCTTTTCTATCTGGCTTTGGAGACGAGCTTCTACACGCAACAACAGTTTAAGGCTTTCCGAAGCCTGGAAGCCAACAATCAGATGGTTTCGGGATTTATAACCAGCGTAAAAGGCCACATAATCGCAAACAAATTTGTTATGTTAGCCAAGGTGAGACATTCGCAGAGAATGAATGACTCTTTGATCCCTATCTGGATTATAGCAGAAAAGGAGGGGACAATTTTATCCGCTCATTGCCTAGGTTGTAAGGCCGGGCTAGCTGAATCATGCTCGCATATTGCAA